CCCACTCCCTCCTGGCCCCCCACGTCCCTCCCAGAGTGGGGCCAGCCCAGGACACAGGTGGAAAAAACCAAAGTGAGGTTTTGCACGCAGGGTCAGGCAGCCAGCCTTCCCCAGTGCCTCTTTGCACCTGGCCTGACGGCACAACAAAACCTAGGCCCTGAGAGGTTAACTCACCTCTCCAGGTCACAGAGTGGCAAAGGTGCCATTCAAACCCACACCTGCCTGACTTCAGAGCCTTTGGTCTATTCCACCATGTCATACAGCCTTGGCATTCAGTGGGGTCTGGAGCAATCAGAGAGTCTGCCTGGAGGAGGCAGTGCTGGAGTGGAGAGTGTGAGGTCAACCTGAGGTTGGAGAGGACCCTCAAAAACCAGAAAGAGAGGCCAGTGGGACCAGCCTGGATTTTTTTTGGAGGCTGGCTGGTATGGGTATCCAAACCCTTGACCTTGGTGTTATAACACCATGCTCTACCCAACTGAGCTCACTGGCCAGCCCCTTGTTGCTTTTTTGTATTTAAAGTCAGGTGGCTCTGGGTTTGAATCCTTCCTCTGTCCCTGACATCCTGGATGATTTTATTTTATTTTACTATTTTATTGATTTTTAAAATTATTTATTAATGTTCACATTCCCTTTCATTTTATTATTTGAATTTTATTTTTTAAAATGTTAATTTAACATCATTGAATTTGTTTTTATGTCATTTCATGTTTGTTTTTATTTATTTGTTTTCGAACACTCTGAGGAGCTTAAGATGTGCTTTGCAGATGTCAGTTCACGAAATCTTCACAATGTTATGAGCAAGGAGCATTTATTATCCTCATTTTATAGATGAGGAAAAGAGGTTCAGAGAGGTTAAGGAACTTGCTCAAGGTCACACAGCCTGGACATCAGACACCTGCCTCCCCCCAGGGCTGTGTTATCATCTACATGACCGGACCTGGGGGTGAGGGGTTGCCTTGATTGAAGGGGTGGGAGTGGAGGGGGAGAGAGAGGAATAAATAGCTCATTAGCCGCCTACAAAATGTGGCTCTGGGTCATCTTCATTCATTGTGCAGTGACCCTAAAATTTCTCATGCCTTTTGGAAGCAATTCCTAAAGTAAGTTCACATTTCTCCCTAAGAATTTCTGACAAGTTGTAGCCAGTGGTGAACCCAACCATATAACTGTTTCATTTCAAAAGCAGAATTATATTTAAATCAGATCTTTCAAAACGTTTCTAAAGCAGAGACACCGAATGTGGGACGTGGGTGTGTATTGATAAGTGTCCTGCACGGGGTGACGGCACAAAGTCAAGGTTGTAGGAGGGACGGGGCAGGTGTTCAAACCTCAAAACTGGTGTGAGGGTCTCAGAGGGCGTCTGGCAGGGCGAGGCCTGGGGCTGGGCCAGCCGGGAGTGGAGATGTCGCAGCAGATGGGAGGCCTGGGGGGCGGGGGGAGCTTGTCCTCCGTCCCCCCTCCCTTGCCCCGCCTGGGCATCTGTCCATCCCTCCCTCCACCCGCCCTTCTCCAGTTTCGCAGGAGTCAAGTTCAGCTTTTGTTCAGCAACCCCAAGGGAGGAAAGCAAACACCCGTGACTGCGGGGCCAGCCTCGTCTTCTCCCTGCGACCTTCTGTTTGTGTCCCTCGCCAGTCACCACGCCTTTGCCGCGGTCCCTCCGTCCCGCCTGGGGCGCCCACCCCGGCTCCTTTCTGCATCGCTAACCCCGGCACTTCCTTCCACGCCCCAGCAGGTGGCGCTACGTGCTCTGCGCCCTCGCGGGTGGTCTCTGAACCTGTTTTTTCATCCTTAAGATAGGAGTAGGGGGCCGGTTGCTCAATGGCTAGAGCGTGGTGCTGATGACCCCAGGGTCATGGGTTCGGATCTCCACATCAAACAAACAGAAAAGATAAGCGTTATCTGGAGCTGTGCATCTAGTCTCTGGGTTCCCACCCACCTCCCGCCCTTATTTTAGGTTTCAGGAAAATCCCACAAGTGGCAAGATCGTGGTTTGTAGAGACTTCAACACCTCAACACTTTCTGGAAAGTCTTCCTCTCTCTCTATCCTTTTTATTCTCCAGAGCTACTATTTCTTTAATTCATTCAACACGCATTTATTGAGCACCTGCTGTGTGCACCTGCTGTGTTGTAGCTGGTGGGGATCAGAGCTGGCTTCACGAAACCACCACACTCAGAAGGGCCCTGCACTTGGTTTAATGCTCTGCTGTTGAAATCTTGAAATTCTTCATCATTTTAACAGGGGACCCATATTTTCAATCTATATAGCTGGTCCTATAGCCATGGGCTGGCCTGTTAGTGCAGTTGGTTAGAGCGTAGTGCTGGTAACACCAAGGTCAAGGGTTCAATCCCTGTACTGGCCAACCACACACACACACAAAATATATGACCAGTCCTGCTGGGGATACAGCAGTGACCAAGACGGATGAAATCCCTGTCCTAGAGCAGATGATATTCTGGGGGAGAGACCAAGAGTCAACAGAATATTTCTTGAAAGATACATAGTCTCTTAGGTGGTGATAAGAAGGAAATGAAGGAAAAATAAAGCCTAGTAAAGGGCTAGAGAGGGACACCGGGCATCAGAGAAGGGCTCTCGAAAGAGGTGTCTTCCAGCGCAGACAATAGTAAAGACATCAGCCACGGGGACTGCAGGGAAGGGTGCTCCAGGCGATGGGAACTGCATGTGCAAAGGCCCAGAGGTGCGACTGAGCTGTTTGAGGAACAGAAAGGAGGCCACCGTGGCAGGATAGGCTGGAGCATGGGAAACAGGGGGGAGATGAGCTCAGGGCATCAGCTGAGGAGCACTGTTTAGCTCAGGGACCAGCAAACTTTTCCTGTAAAGGGTGAGACAGTAAGATATTTCGCCTTGCGGCCAGATGGTCTCAACTCTGCCATTGCAGCTTGAGAGCGGCCATCTGTAATGAGTGGGTGTGGCTCTGTCCCAATAAAACTTTATTTTATTTTTGTTGTTTGGTGCTTGGCTGGTTCGGGGACCTGAACCCGTGACCTTTGTGTTATGAGGCTGAAAACTTCATTTATGGACACTAGGATGTTAATTTCAAATAATTTTCATGTGTCACAAAGTGTTATTCTTTNCCACCACACTCAGAAGGGCCCTGCACTTGGTTTAATGCTCTGCTGTTGAAATCTTGAAATTCTTCATCATTTTAACAGGGGACCCATATTTTCAATCTATATAGCTGGTCCTATAGCCATGGGCTGGCCTGTTAGTGCAGTTGGTTAGAGCGTAGTGCTGGTAACACCAAGGTCAAGGGTTCAATCCCTGTACTGGCCAACCACACACACACACAAAATATATGACCAGTCCTGCTGGGGATACAGCAGTGACCAAGACGGATGAAATCCCTGTCCTAGAGCAGATGATATTCTGGGGGAGAGACCAAGAGTCAACAGAATATTTCTTGAAAGATACATAGTCTCTTAGGTGGTGATAAGAAGGAAATGAAGGAAAAATAAAGCCTAGTAAAGGGCTAGAGAGGGACACCGGGCATCAGAGAAGGGCTCTCGAAA